CAAAATCAGCGATTACGCAGAGTTTACGAAAGCGCTCTTCACCTCATGTATTCAGGAGGGTGAGTAGATTCCATGACCATCATTTGAAAAGAACAAGAGCTTGAAAACTCTTCAAACCAGTTGTTCGTTAAAGCAAATTGACTTTTGTTGCTTTTGAAAGCAAAAAATGCAGTGTAATTTTTTCTGTGAAAAGGAGAACAGGTCGCAGATGTTGCAAATGTTTCATATTTTAGGATGTAATTGTAAAAAAAATTTGAGAGTCAACGAAAGCGATAGTGATTAGAAAAACCAGGTGCCTTTATAATTTTGTCCAGCTTTCAAAGAGAGCTTTTTCGAATTTTTTCGTTTTTTTCCGTTCAAACTCAACAAGACTGGAAGCCGTTTTGAGAGTTTATGGAAGGTTGACATGCGCACAATATAGCAAAGTTTCAGGCAGATTCATTGACAAGAACGAAAATTACGACGATTTCTAGAGTGTCTTTATAATTATGTCCAGCACTGTATACTCTCTCCCGCACGCATGTAGGGTCAGCCCGGAGGTTGAAATAGCAATGCGCATTTGCGCATGGTATCACGTCTACGGTATGCTATAGGTAATCGTGATTTATTATATCTATTTTCTTCGCTCTCCGTTGTTTTCAGCGAGCATATACAGTGCTAATCCCTAGCACAGCACGCTATCTCAAGCCAGGATTTCGGCTTGCTCCTGATTAAGGCGGACTGCAGGTGAAAATTTTTGCAAGTTTGCAAGCAAAATTGTGCAGATTTGGAATTCAGGTATGAAAGCAATTATTGCCAGCATTTCAAAGTGGGAGCATCTGGTGATGTAATAGTTTGATGCAAAAGTGTTGTAGCATCATCTGAAAAATCATAATTTTTTGCCCTCTTAACGGATTTGCACGAGCTTAACCTTGCTTGATAGCGAAAACCTTTTTCTCTGTGACAGCGCCTTTGCGGCTTTCCAATAACTGACAACTTTTGTAATGGAAGCAGCAGAAACTTACTTCAACTCCACTCATTTTGAGTTAGGTGCTGAAAACCTAGAACTGCGATGAAATTCCGAGCAAGCAGTGTAGTAAATCTTCTGATCCATAGTTTCCAACAGTACAGAGTTTGTGTTCAAAGAGGATTTTTGTGAAGAGTTATGATTCTTGGAAATTTCTAACTCTTTCCAGAACTGCTCATTTGCCTCAAGCTCTGCACTTTAAGAAAGTGTGCATCAAAAGGTCTACTATACTGCTTGCTCGGAATCTTATCGCAAGAATTAGATTTTTAGCAACCCAATTCAGCCTATGTTGGGTTAGTTTTAATCTTGTGCTTCCATTCAAGCTAGCATTAATTAGAAAGCAGCAAAGGGCTATCATAAAGAAAAGCGTTTCCTCTATCAAGTACAATTAAGATTGTGCAAATCTGTTGAAAGAGCAAAAAGTTATGGTTACTTTGTAATGATGAGGCAGAACTTTTGTAAACCTATTAATTTTAGAACTAGTACTGACTGTTTCGGAAACTGTGACGAGAATTGTGAGAGATTAAGAGACTTTGAAGACATTTTGATCAAATTTTGAAATGTGAGGACTTCTTTGCGTTGTTGGTTGTGTATTTAACTTATGCGTGAGTCAACTCTATGGCTGAGAAAAGCGGGGATTTACGAGGACGGCTAAAGAAAGTTTTATTTTATGAAACATCATTGCCGTTCCGATAGATGGGAGTGTGGCATTAAGCATATTTCATTTAAACACCTTTTCAACTTGGCCAGGGCAAACTGCTACACCTTGCAGTATGGAAAAATGACAAACTCTAGCCATTAAGCCAAGGCAGATTTACTTTTCAAAAGTCAGGCTTGAAACTCCACAAGAGCTTCAAGTGAGATTAGCTACCTCCTCTCAACTTCTTAACTAAGATATTTGCGGAATAGAAAGCTCTTAGATACCCCACCCCATTGTTGTACGCGTGTCGTCGGTGGGTGAAATAATCAGTACTTCCCAGGAGTCGTGGGAGGACAAGAATTGTATAGACTGTTATTAGCAAGATTCGCGATAGTGCCAAGAGGAGAATTGTTTTCATTGACAGCGCATTTTCAGGATGTAGAGGGCGACGTGACTCCAAGAATAAGAGTAAAGGGATCCTGAGAAACTTGTTGTGCGCAAAACCAAGTTTTTTTTACGAACTATTTTGGCTAAAGATAATCAGCAGTAAAGAAGTTTGAAGGTGCGTGGCGTTAGCCACGCACTCCGAAAAATTTTTTGGGGTGTTTTCCAAATTTTTCCGGGCCCGTGACCCCAGAATTTCAGAAAAATGGGGCGTAGCCGCAGCCACGCCCCCGAAAAAAAATTTTTTTACAAGGCTAATTTGAATTTTTAAAAATTTTTAAAAATTATTTTAATTATTTACAAGTAAAAACAAGTCCTCTGCCATTTTTATAACACATTTAAGTAACTTTCAAAATTTCGCGGCCCATTCTCGGGGGGGGGGGGGGCGCCCTCCCCCCCGCTCCCGCCCCTCGGTACGCCACTTATATATATATATATATCAGTGGCGTACCCAGGATTTCGGCTCGGGGGGGGGCGCGGCAAAAAAAATTTTCAAATGAAGGTGCGTGGCGTCAGCCACGCACTCCGAAAAATTTTTAGGGGGTCTTCTCAACAATTTTGTGGACCCCCAACCCCTAAAATCAGGAAAAAGGGGGCGTGGCGTCAGCCACGCCCCCGAAAAAAATTTTTTTATAAGGCTAATTTGAATTTTTAAAAAATTTAAAAAATTATTTTAATTGTTTATAAAAATAAACAAGTCATTTGCACATTTTTATAACTCATGTAAGTAACTTTCAAAAATTTCGCGACCCGTTCTCGGGGGGGGGCGCGCGCCCCCCCCCGCCCCCCCCCCTCGGTACGCCACTGATATATATATATACTAGCTGGCTTACCCGGCTCCGCCGTATGTTCCGAATAGAAAATTCCATTTCTCAACCGATCCGGACCAAACTTGGCACACATACACTTCGGGCCCCGGCGGGTGTCACAGTCCACTTTTCGTTATCGATCGATGTCGATTTTATCAATTTTTTGCAAAATTTGAGCTAGGGGGCTGGGATTTGGCACGGGGGGTGTAATCGAGCATGCTGATCTCCCCCACGGGGGTGATCAGCTGCTCGATTACCCCCTGTGCCAAATCCCAGCCCCATAGCTTAAACTTTGCAAAAAAATCGATAAAATCGATAAAAGTAATGCACGATTTTAAAAACTAATATTGTATTCGGAATCCCCATGCTCACTTACCCCCCTGTGCCAACTCCCAGCCCCGTAGCTCAAATTTTGCAAAAAATCGATAAAATCGATATCGATCGATGACGAAAAGTAGCCTATGACACGCGCCGGGGCCCGAAGTGTATGTGTGCCAAGTTTGGTCCGGATCGGTTCAGAAATGGAATTTTCTATTCGGAACATACGTACACACAGACAGACATACAGACAGACAGACAGACATACATACAAACAGACATTCAGCTTTATATATAAGATATATATATGCTTAGATAGGATGCATCTGAGTACAAAGGTGTTCACATCTTCTCTCTAGAGAAGTTAAATAAATGAAAAATCAAACTTTGCAGGTAGACACAAAAATATCTGATCTTTCCTTACAAATGCCACCACCAGAATTCGGTTATTTGATACAACTTGCTTCTTTCGTTGCATAGGTAAAATCAAAATAATCGCATTCCCAAAAGGCTGACCAATGCAGATGCATGCTGGGTTCTCCGGAAGCAAAGGCTGAGATTCTGTGGCTGAAATTCTGACAAAATCGAGGTTTTACCGTTTTTAGTGGAAATTGTGGGGGAAAAACAAAACTTTTCGCTCCAAAAACTGGTGAGCCACAGAGAGAGCCTATCGAAGCTCAACCAGCGAGACCACAGCTTCTATGCTGGTTCTTTTTTCCGGGGGCACAGACATCTGTGGCTGAAATCCTGTCGAAATCGAGGTTTTTACCGTTTTTAGTGGAAATTGTGGGGAAGAACAAAACTTTTCGCTCCAAAAACTGGTGAGCCACAGAGAGAGCTTACCGGAGCTCAACCAGCGGGACCACAGCTTCTATGCTGGGTCTTTTTTCCGGGAGCAAAGGCATCTGTGGCTGAAATCCTGTCGAAATCGAGGTTTTTACCGTTTTTTGTGGAAATTGTGGGGAAAAAACAAAAGTTTTCGACCCAAAAACTGCTCAGCCACAAAATAGCCTGCGAAGAATGCAGTTTTTTGCTGTTGAATTGCTTTGGGTTGGGATTTCGTCAACATTTCACCAAATGTTGAGTTCTGACGACTATTTAAGGAGAGTTGCAGTGCTCAGATTTCATATCAAACTTATGCCAAATGGCCAGGGGGAGGGTAAGGGAATCTCTAGAATGAAAGTGTGTAACGTAGCTAAGGACATGAGAAGAAGAGGAAACGTGTATGTAAACAGTAGAGATTGCTCCAGCTGTGAAAGCTGTGATCAAAGCATACGGTATTTCACACAATTCGTCATCGCAGGCAGTCAAAACACGTGCCGTCATAGCATGCGGTATAGGGTGCGATCAATAGTCAAACGTCGAGACAACCCTCTCCTCTCTAGCTTGTCTGCGGTTCGGAGTACACCGCTCCTCTAAATTTCTCATCATCCGTACCCTCTGCGAGAGAGTGTGATGTCTCGCGCGCTCACTCTGTCAACAACTCGCCCTCCGCAACGCTGAATGGGGTCGTCAGGGTGGGTGAACCATGTGTAGTTTTCGTTCGTCGTCTCGCCGGATGTTTCCAGTTTATATATAAGAAGGATATATATATATTTTTATGGTTATGCAGCAATCTGAATTTCAATATGCAAATCGTTTTCAATAATTTACCAGAAACTTTGGCACATACCGTTTCAAAGATTGTCTTTATTTTACAAATGAACGAAGTAATAACTCACATTGTTCTGTAATTTAAATTACAAAATGATGTCATCAAGGTAGACATAATTTTCGAAACCACTCAGTCATCAGTCGACTGGGAGGGCTTCTCCCAGTCGTCTTCCTCATACTCTATTTTGTTATGTTCAAGTACTTTGCGGACCATTGCTTCGGTTCGGAAAAGACGGTCATGAAACTTAACAATGTCTTCCTGAAGAGAAAGAAGCTGGCGGTTTATTGAATCTAATGATAGCCGAACATCGTGGAAACCCTGAAAGGAACACAAAATCATATCATAGCGTTTGAGGGAAAGTGTGCTCACGTAATTGTCTAATGTGCCCTCCTCTTTCTCTTCTGTGGAGCTGAAACCAAATCGAGTGCACAAATTTTTCCAACGGCTTGGAACAAGACCTAATTTGGTAGAATAGTAAGAGCGCGTTGTCAGCTTGCGAAAATACGGCATCGATGCTTCCACTTGTAACACAAGATCCACCTAAATAATTTCTTTGTTGTGATGTGTAACTTACGTTTGTTGACGGTAGATCTCACCTGCATACTCAATCGTTTCAATTCGGCTTTGTCTTGCACACCCTTAATGTCGTCTACAGCCAAACCGACCTAAATGATAGCAGCATAGCTGTGAACAGTTCTTAGATTAAAAGTACCAGCAAGTTCATCAAAAGAATAGTCATAATGACACAGAAGAAGAGGAATAGAGGATAAGCAATTTCAGGATCAAATAGTCTTTGCGGATGCACATGCATATCGCCATGAAAGATTGCGGTAAATTCCAGCTCTCCAATCATCATAACGGCAGTCTTTAGCACAGCCGAAGGTACGGTTGAGAATTCGGGCTGTAATAAAATGCGTTACCACATCGATTACGAGGCTGAGTTTGGCATCTAGACTCACCTTATTCTGCATGATAACGAAAAATGTTATGCTAAAAGCAACAACAAAAAGCACGAAAATGATGAAAAAGCGTGAAAATGTCTTAAGGATTTCAAAGAACATTACAACGTAAATTCCAAATCTAAAACTGAGACTGAAATTAGCAGGAAGTTTATATAAGTTGAAAGGCAGTTTGACATTGGCAGTTTCCGAATAAGCAGCAACAAATTCATCCAAGATAAAAAGACACAGACGGAGGCAAGATACCATTGCCAATTCTGAAAAACGGCAATTTCAAAAAATTCCTAAAATCTACTTAAAGACCTAGTAAAGCCAAAGTCAATTCACTTTCCAATACTGGAGTAAAATGATGTAAACACTATTTGTTCCAATCACTTTCATAACTCTGGCTAACAAAGATCTTTTGACCCACCATTGCAATACTAATGTATCAATGACGCTACGGCAAATTTTCTCCGTAGCGGAGCGGGGACGGGGGGGGGGGGGAGGAAGGAGAAGCAAGACGAATTTTTTAAATGAAAAGGCTTATGCCTGAGTTGTTTTCAGAAATTTATGCGAACCACGATTCTGAAGGGAAGCAAATGAGGGGAGAAGGTCACGTCCACGAAAAGCTCCTACAAGCAAAATTGGATTTGTGTAAAATGTAAGATTTTTTTATCGTTCATTAAATTGATAATTTGGACAATTTTGCAATACACAGGTCTACAAACTTCTTGCGACCCATTCTTGAGAGAGGGTGGGGGGGGGGGTACCGCTATGCATCCACAACATTATAGGCTCAAACAGGAAGGGTCATTATTTCGTTGGCAAAAAGCAAAAAAAGAAAGAAATGTCGGGTACTTCGTGGAAAATTCGAAAACTAAAGTAGAAGAACTTTCCATCCTCAATCCGGTTTTTTCAGAGCATGGCGAGAAATCCGACACTATAACAATCGCTGACGAGTATACGAAGCACTCGACGGCGTTGTCGAGATTGATATACCCGAGGCGTCGTGTGAACAGCTGGTACAACTAGAACAAAACAAAATAGAGGTACTGCAAGGTAGTAGTCGGTTCTCACCTCCTTGATTAAGTGGACAATGGCTAAACCGATCACTGCCCACTTAATGTTTATCAGCCATTTTTTTCGTACCAGTCCCTACAACATTTTCGCATTTTGCGGGTATTAAAACAGTTATTTACTACAATCGATTTTAACAAGACACATTTGTTAATATTGCTTGAATCTATGACAACTTGTTAGCAGAGTTGCTCTTACAACTTCCTCGCATGTAGAATTTTTCGCATAGAGATATGCGCTCAGATCAACCATTTTGTTCTTATCTGCGTCGTAAACATTGAATGGGGCAGGAGTGTAAATGACGAAGAGAGTGAAAAGAACCATAAAAGCAATATAAATCATCAAAGCTGAAAATTGTGTTTACTGCGATACAAAAATCTCAAGTAAATACAAACTCGCCTGAATAGTAGACGTATCTTCCAAGACTATTCCATTTGTGATTAATAAGCGCAATCACTAGTGGTTCAGAAAGGAGTTTCAATTTTTCCGCATTTGCATGCTTCAAATTTACCGCATTTGCCTGCAAGTCCATACCGCAACATAGAGTGACTCTTACTTCGAATGTCGAGTTCAACACAGACATTAGATCGAAATTTGCTTGCTTTCATGTTCGAAGATCACATCAAATAGAAATGTTTTTCTGTTAACGCTGAGATGGACAGGTGTAAATCTTACTGAGCATCTGCAAGTGATTGACTGCAATAGAGGTATCCTAGATTTCCACTCAAAAGCGCTGTGCCGCAAATTGCGGACTGGCTGTATGATATTTACGATAGAGGAAACGCATGATTGGTTATCTCCTCTGTGAAGCGATTTAGTTTTCGGACCTTGCAGAAATTTAGCAATTTTTTCATGTTCGCAGGTTGTCCGGAAGTCTCAAAACGCCTATGTGAAAAGGCGTGATAAGAGTGATCAAAGTACCTCAAATTTGCTAGGTTCTTGTTTACCCCTCTTGCGGCCGGAATCCGCTCTCCCACTCTTGACAAACGAGACAAAAAAGTTATAAAACCTAAATTTACCCTGTATCAATTTACTCAATAAAAAACTTTTGAGTTTTTTGCTAAATGGCTTGGATACGCTCCAAGCAAAGCTTTCTGCAAAAATTGTTTCAAGATGATGGCAACCTCCAAAATCATGAATGCAGTTATCAGGAATTTGTAAGCAACAATTCGATTCCCTGGGATTAAAAACGCGAAGAAAGAATTTGATAGATGGAAGCGAACGAACGATGGAAGCACAAGGCAGCGTACTCTTTTATACATACATAAAGCATAGAAATGCAATATTGAAATGACTTGTATCACTGTATTAGAATTTAGTGGCTGCATTGCGCTGTACCTATATCTCATTTACCTATCGTTGTCGTGGCACATACATCAGGCAAAGAGAGCAGCAGAGCACATTGCGCGAATTTAGTAAGTGTAGGCTCACACTCAACGAAGATATTTGCAGACGCATATTCCCCCAGCTTAGGGTATCGGTGCCTTTAGTCATTTATTGTATACTGGGGTACTCCCGAATATTCTGTGCTAGCTGGCATCGCGGCTCCGCCCGACCCTGTCACTTGATTGAAACCATCATGCCCTATTTCCGTGCAATAATTCGCTGTCCAGGTTCCACCTTTATGCCAGTATCCTGCCTCCACTATGCTTTCGCGATCAGCATGCTCACTTACCCCGTGTCAATTCCCAGCCCCGACTCAAGGTTCAAAAAATGCCGTTCGATAACAAGAGGCCCTCCACCAACCGCTGCATTGACGTGTATGTTTGACAAGTTTGGTTTTTGGATCAGTTCAGAGGTAGAGTTTTTTTTTGGACGTACATACAAACAACAGACAGACAGTATGTTGATTGTTTCAAAATCAACGCACGTTTTTCCTCTCTTTTTAGGTGGTTTTGAAGTGGAATCACCGCCCTTAAATACTTTTAACAAATCTAAAAGAGCGTTTTTCTCAAGTTTTTATGTTTGCTTCCAGTTTCGTATATCTTCACTCGTTCAAATGTTCCACGCCTTCAATAAACGAGTATAACCCCAGAATTTCTTCCATTCACTTTTTCTGCCCTAAATCCATGAAGAATAGCTCGATTGATCTCAAAAAATTTGCATGACGATTGACCAGTTGTGCACTACAATATGCTTTTGAACAGAACTTGGATAAATTCTGAGCAAGAAATTCAATCGGGAACTTACAAGATCTTTGCACTATGCAGCAAGGGCAGACCTAGTTCATTTGGTCGATGGTCGTAAAACGCTAGAGTTTCTCATTCAGAGGAAAAAAAAAGGTTAAAGGCCGATAAATGAACCCGCCGAGATGCCAGTGAAAGTAAGTACTTTCGATTTTTTCGCGAAATTTTCTCTTAAATTAATTCCGTATTAACTATGTGATGAGCAGATGTGCCTATCCTACTTCATTACAGAGTAAGTTATGCTCTTTCAAAGTAAAGATTTGCAAAAGTTCTTGGCAATTTTTGGGCTAGAAGATCTTACTTGTGAAGGCTATAGTCACATAAGCATGGTTTTATAGCCAATCTGCTGTTTTATAGTAGTCTTTTGAGCCCAGAAAGATTTTTTCAGAAAAAGATTGCTTAGTTCAGAGTTGAAGTGTAGAGAGCCTGCATCAATCATGAATCAACCTGCTATATTGAATGATTATATTGCGAGAATATGCTAACTGGAGATTATAGTAATACAGATTAAATTAGATTATGTTATAGATTAATAGTTATGTTCTCAAAAAAGTATTCTGCGTTAATCACCCGACTTTGATGAATACTTAAGACTATAATCTTATATATAAAGCTGAATGTCTGTTTGTATGTATGTCTGTCTGTATGTCTGTCTGTCTGTACGTATGTTCCGAATAGAAAATTCCATTTCTGACCAAAGTTGGTACACATACACTACGGGCCCCGGCGGGTGTCATAGGCTACTTTCGTCATCGATCGATATCGATTTTATCGATTTTTATCGATTTTTTTGCTGAGTTCACCTACGGGGCTGGGAGTTGGCACAGGGGGGTAATCGAGCATGGGGATTCCGAATACAATATTGGTTTTCAGGATTATCGATTACTTTTATCGATTTTATGGTTTTTTGCAAAGTTTGAGCTACGGGGCTGGGAGTTCGCACAGGGGGGTAATCGAGCATGGGGATTCCGAATACAATATTGGTTTTCGGGATTATCGATTACTTTTGTCGATTTTATGGTTTTTTGCAAAGTTTGAGCTACATTGCTGGCAGTTGGCACGGGGGTAAGTGAGCATGCTGATCACCCCCAAGGGGGGTGATCAGCATGCTCGATTACACCCCTGTGCCAAATTCCAGCCCCCTAGCTCAAATTTTCAAAAAATCGATAAAATCGATAAAAGTAATGGACGATCCTGAAAACTAATATTGTGTTCGTAATCAGCATGCTCACTTCCCCTGTGCCAGCTCCTAGCCCTGTAGGTGAACTCTGCAAAAAAATCGATAAAAATCGGTAAAATCGACATCGATCGATAACGAAAAGTGGACTGTGACACCCGCCGGGGCCCGAAGTGTATGTGTGCCAAGTTTGGTCCGGATACGGCGGAGCCGGGTAAGCCAGCTAGTAATATAATAATATAATAATTCACTCTGCCTTACTATCATCTTTAAGGGGTGGTACTTGTAGACAACATCGTAGTCATCCGAGTAAGCTTTCGCCTCCTTTTTCAATCTTCCATTTTCATCGTACGGATCAATCCCAGCAGTAAGCTCTTCAAGGCAGCAACTTGATTATATTCAGTAAATAACATGTGACAAACCAGTTCCATCTTCTGAAGGCATCATGTATGTATCGTCGAGGTACGTTAAATCGTAGTATTTACATTTCAGTGGTGGCGTGGACTCTTCCTTCGTTTCTCTGAAGTTCGCTAATCTGCTGGGGAGAAGGGCATAAGGATGAACTCACATGCATTTTTCGAAGACAAGTTTTGCGACCTTTGGAAATTTGTCAATTAGTTTTCTCATCGGTGTAATCCTTGCCTCGTTGTGGCAAGACATCTTCTTTGTATCCGAAGGGGCCATTACCTCTTCCCAGTAATCCGACTCGACAAGAACGCGTGCTACGGACCTAAGGACAGGAGCTATGTTTGTAAGCAACAATCGCAGCACTACGCTAACTCGTGTCCATTGGATATAGCCAAATCAAGGGCTGTTTCGCCCTTCTTGTTTTTGGTAGGAATAAAATCCAGCAGAAGCCTCTTAACAAGTCGGTCGTAACCCTTTTCGGCGGCTACATGTAGAGGAGTGGTACGTCTGCAAAAACGACGTATAATTAGTTATTCTGGCTGCACGGTGGTACTCCGAGCAAGTCGCGCCCAAATTATATGGCTCACAAAACTTTTCGCTACTAAAGTAGTAGGCGACTAGGGGATGGAGGGTTGGAGGGGGGGGGGACGATACATGACTTGATACAACAAAGAAGTTGGCCCAAGGGTACCGGCTTATTTAGATTTGACGTCGCGTTTCGGCATCGCTTCGTGAATTCGCGCCGATCTACTTTTTAAGTGTTTTTCGTTATTCTTGCTTCCAGATAATTAAGTAGGGTCTCGCTTTAAGATCTCTTTAAAAGTTCCTAATTTTGATTTCAAACAGAGCGCGGCTGAGAAAAACACCGTTACATGAATAGGTTACGCGATCCACGAAAATGCGAGGATAAAATTGGTAAAGCGGTAGTGCATATGGGGAATTGACTAGGTAAGGGTCATTAGTCGAAGTGGGCTTTTAGATGACAGCAATTAGTTGTATCGAGCGCCGATTCCAACCCGTCCTCCCTATATGCGGAACGTTTCTAGCCAAGGAGTTATGGAAGATTCGTGGCGAATTTTTGAAGACGTATAATGAAAAAAAATCGTACACAGAAGTCTCTCCTTGGCTCAAACCAGTAGTCTCTGTCAAACTATTCTGCGCAGAAATAGTTTCTGTCTGACACCTACACTCAAAACAACTCTTTCTGCGAAGTGTACAAGGTTGACGGTCAGTTCTTTCGTCATCTTGCATTAAACTTTTTGGTTCATGAAACGTTCATAGCTCCTCATTCAGAGATGTTCCGCAGGTAGGGAAAACAGATTTAGAATAAGCATGATGTCCCTAAAAGGCATGTCCAAACTCATCTTAAGGAGCTACTTAAGCCACTCAGTAATGATCCTTCTCCTGTAACTGTACCATATGTATGAGAACTTCCTTACTTTTGAACTGGTATCACAGTACTGTTCAAGTGAATATTTGTGTTGATCACCGTTTTTTTGCCGATGATGTGAATGTGAAAGTGTTAGTAAACTTCCTCAAAGACGCAATCGTAATTTTAGAGATACAGCGCATTTCATGCAGTTTAGCAGAGCGCGTAAATTTGAGTAACCTTAGCCTGTAGTAAGCCACCAGGATGTCGTGACGCACAGCTTGAAGCCTGCTGTGACATGTGCTGACTATCGCGGAGCGAGGCAGGCAAAGCGACTATCCTTTACCATTGCTGCCGTATGCAGTCAATTTGGATCGCCAAACTAGTCGCACTTTGTCGTCATATGTCGCGACATATCGCGACACATAACGACACATTGCGGCATGTCGTGATGAACGAAAGGGCGAAACACTTTGTCCAACGTGGAGACGCAGAGACATAGCGCGAGACTAGAGCTCGACTACATCAACCTCGCATTAGGTCGCACATGCACGCAGTTCTCTGTAACGCACGTCAAAGTGCAATCAATATCAACAGCTGATAAGCGCCCAACTGTCCAACAAATGCGCCTCTCCCCACTTCCTAGGTATTTTTGCTGCTGTACGCTTTGGTATTCAAAAATGGTGAGTTTATTTCGACTAAAAAGTCTATTAGATTCATAAATGGTCATTTTTTATCGTGCTTAGCTATTTTTCTTTTTTACTCCCACTTTTACTGCATCTCATTTGTGCACCAAATCTCTTCATGCCAAAATTCAAAATTTGTCAATTATCTAATCTTTCTTACGATCTTAGCAGTTTTGATCATATAATTTTGCTGAATTGCTATTCGTTAGTCGTGCACCTCTCGCTATTTTTTTTTTTGAGAGAAGGTGCCGTTTGGCGTTACGGCTAAGAAAACAGCCCTTTTTCGAGCAGACCAAGGTAGTAAATGTTTGATAATACCCTAATTTTTTCTATGCATTTCTAATATTGCGTGTATTAAATGCCAATTTTTCTTTACCAACAGGAAATTTCCTGATTTACGTCATTTGCCAGAAAATATGACTACCTGGCAAACTGCAAAAGATGGCACCGCGCGGAACTCGAACCCGCACCAGCACACTCGTCAATGACAATGGCGCTGCGTTACCTAGACGTTATGTACGCCTTGGATGTGCTTGATTACAGAAGTAATTGCACATGCTAGTAATTCAGTACTAAGGGATCAGGCATTGCGAGGAAAACCGCATATTTGTTCATATTGGTTTTGCTACAATTCTCCATTTGTTACATGCATCCTATCCTTCGTTTTAGTAAAACATGACAGTGTTTGTGCGCATAGCGCAGTGCGTGTGAGCACTATTATCGCGGTTTTCAGTGGTTTTATGACGCGGAGACACCTGTTTTGCGGCGCTTTCGGATAACTCACTATAGTCTTGCGAGATACTTCGACCTATCACGACATAGACCCTCTACGTTGTGACGAACAGGAGGCGTTTACTATGGGCATTTGTATCTTGCTATCATTCCCCTCGATCAGAGTCAATCTCAAAGAATACCTACCTAGCAGTGGCGTACCCATAATTTTCCAGGGGGGAGAGGGGGGGGGGGGAGGAAACGGCAAGTTTTGTTTTCGGATGAAGGTGCGTGGCATTAGCCACGCACTCCGAAAATTTTTTTGGGAGGCCCCAGAATTTTTGCGGGCCATTGAGCCCAATATTTAGCAAATGTGCTAAAAAATATTTTTTTACAAGGCAATTTGAATTTTAAACAGTTTTCAAAAATTACTTCAATTATTTACAAGTAAAACAAGTCGCTTGCACATTTTTAAAGCACATTTAAGTAACCTTTAAAAGCGCGACCCATTTTTGGGGGGGGGGGGGCTCGGTGCGCCACTGCTACTTAGTACCTAAGAATACCTATCTAATTTACTCAATGGTAATTGAATCAGCCATTTGTGACAAGACATTCAAAATTGAATGATTCATCTTAGAATCGATAAGCTCAAATCTGCATTTATAATTTGCTAAATAGTCTTCTGAAGCGTTTTCGACACCAACTTGGCTTTTTTGACAGATTCTGCAGCTGTTGCGGGCGGTAAAATGTTGAGTGTGGCGCATTATTAGCAAAGTCATAGGTTTGAACCTTTTGCAAGTAATCCAATTCGCGGTATGTTGAGAATGGCCATAATTTCTTGAAAAACCGCTGAGCAGATAGCGAAAGCAGATTTGAGCTTGTCCTTCCAAACTGACGAAAAATTCATTATATCTTGCAAACGGTTAAATCGATTTGATGTCCTTTACTTTTGAATTTAAGAACGATGTTGAAGTCCTGCGCGCTTTTCAATTAAACTTGCGGGATAAGCATGTTCTCCAGCTGAATTTTAAAAAATTAGTCTAACTCAAATCTGTCAAGCCGCTGTCTTCAAAATCAGGGCAGACCTTGTTTGCTGAAGGAGTGAACCTTTGACCTTTCCTTGCACCATAATTAGCACCAGCATTCGCGGAGGGAAGCCAGGAGTTCCTAGCACTTTCCCTCGCACTATGGTTAGCATCAGCATTCGTATCCAGAAGGGTTCTATCACTGACTTCAGAGGTCACACCCCGCCCACTTCTACCCATCGAATGGACTCATTGTGCAAGCAGCGAGAGCATGAAATCAGATATGGTAATAATAAGAGAGGAAAAATTAGGAGAAATGAGGAACACATACAGTGCTGGACAAAATTATAGGTCCACTCTAAAAAGTGCCATAACTCACTCTGTTGCCAATAAAATGTTTCAAAATTTGGTGCAGCCGTGTGTTTACCAGCCCGCTGTCAGCCATTAAAATGGGTCTCTTTTTCGTTTGGCTATTCAATAAAAAATTGAAAATTTTGAAAAAAGCAGGCTTGAAGGCTGGACAAAATTATAGGTCCACCTGGAGTTTTTATTGATTAAAGCACTTCTTAGCTCCCGAATTTTTTTAGGTAGGTACACATCTAAAAACGTTAAACAGCTGCTTTAGTCAAGCTGTGCCATGCCTCCAAAAAGGACTGATTATCTGTTTTTTTTGCTTTGAAAATGCTTTCACATGTATTTCGCCCCACAAACCTGCGTTGAGTAAGAAATTCTGCAGTTTCTCAGCTGGATCGGAAGGGATGGAGTTTCATCTACCTTCTGGATGCTTTTTGACGTGAGCATTGAGGAAAAAATCCGAATTTCTGCTGCTGAAGCAATCCGACATTGACAATACTGCAATCCTGAGCTCAAATTTCTGCCTTCAGACTTCTTTTACAATGTTCTCAGAAGCAAGTAAAGTAAAGGCATTGTTTCTACGAAAAGGAGTCCGTAACCCTGCAGAAACTGACTACGACAAGCACCAAAGCTATTTGTGGCTCCGATCAAAATTTACAGAAGAATCATGTGCTAACCATACACTACAAGCTGTATCCACTATCTAGTAAATGATTGCTGTCAAAAATCTAGATGAGGTAGAACTTGGCAAGCTATTTTGGATCTGCGTAATACCATCATTACGTTGCACACACAACTCATATTTCGAAAAAGAAGCAAGGCAGCTTTGTGGACATGCGAGTATGGCGAACAGCTTTATTCTTGTGTAAAGGAATGCTTCCAAAATCTCTTGAGGTTATAATGACAATGCAGGGTTTTAGGGCAGAAACTGAGGCTTACTCTCCCGATTGAGTCGATGTCGGATTTGCTTCAACAGCAAAAAGTCGGATTTTTTCCTCAATGCTCACGTCGAAAAGCATCCAGTGGCCGTATTCATCATTGATATCTTGCGGTAAATTCTACCTCCAGGTAGTTTTATCACTAGTTATCAGCAAAATTACGTTGAGAATTTACCTCAAGGTACTTTTGTGAATATGGGTACTAGTTCATAATGAGTGATAAAACTACCTGGTAGAATTTACCTCAAGGTATCAATGATGAATAGGGCCACAGAAGGTAGATGAAACCCCTTCCCTTCCGATCCAGCTGAGAAACTGCAGAATTTCTTACTCAACGCAGGTTTGTGGAGCGAAATACATGTGAAAGCATTTTCAAGGCAAAACAGCAGATCAGTTCTTTTTGGAGGTATGATACAGCTTGACTAAAGCAGCTGTTTAACGTTTTTAAATGTGTACCTACCTAAAAAAATTTGGGAGCTAAGAATTGCTTTATTCAGTAAAAACTCACGGTGGACTTATGATTTTGTCCAGCCTTCAAGCCTGCTTTTTTCAAAATTTTCAACTTTTTCTTCAATAACCAAACGAGAACGAGACTCATTTTGATGAATGATAGTAGGCTGGTAAACACACGGCTGTGCCAAATTTTGGAACATTTTATTGACAACAGAGTGAGTTATGGTACTTTTTAGAGTGGACCTATAATTAGGTATGACCTGAGATACAGTGCTGGACTATGATTTTGTCCAGCACTGTATCTCATTTTATTAGTGAATCATATAGATCTACTAGTTGACTTACCCGGCTCCGCCCGGCCCTGTCATTATTATATTCGTAATCAGCATGCTCGATTACACTCCTCTGCCAAATTCCAACCCCGTAGCTCAAATTTTGCAAAAAATCGATAAAATCGATATCGATCGATGACGAAAAGTAGCCTATGACACCCACCGGGGCCCGAAGTGTATGTGTGCCAAGTTTGGTCCGGATCGATTCAGAAATGGAATTTTCTATTCGGAACATACGTACAGACAGACAGACAAACAGACATTCAGCTTTATATATAAGACTATCTATTTCAATGTACCGTGTAGTAAAAATGTTTGTATATACTATATTCGGCATCAATTTCACAGGAGAGCACGGACTGTGAAAAATTTGAGAGGATTCTAATTTAAACGACTTCTGAGAAATACCACGAAAAAATCAAATTTAGAAAAACGTAGCTTTTGACCTGAAAAGGATTGATTCGTGATCTGTCCTTTGTGTCAAACGCATGAGTTTTCCAAGAAAAACTTACTCGAGTTTTATACCATTCTGTTATCTTATCAGCCTATTTCACCACGAATTGCTGAATATATGTACAGGATTTGAATGTCAGTCGATCTCCTTTTTGAAGTCTTTTGGAGATTTCAGTACGTTTTTATCTGTCTCAATGCATCACTGTTCAGTTTCTCATTCATTCAACTAATTGAATGATCGATTAGATCAAATTCTTCTATCACATTAATCGATATCATTTTGAGATATGAAGGTCCTAGATCAGTCTAGAGTATGGTTGAAAAATCATTTAAACTCCTGAATATGATAATCTATCTGCAAAATATGTTGAGTAACCCAATGTAGAAGATGAGAAACGGAGTCAATAAAATGTGCAGGTTTCTTTTATGTTTTGTGACTGGCTAAACCACCAACTTCCCTGGCCATTAACTCGAAATTCCAATAGTTTCACCATTACTTTTAGTTCGAATAAAACTAAAAAATTTACAAATTAATCTTATCTGCAATTCCCATCCTATCACCTTTTACTATCCGTATACAGCTCCGAATGAGCGGGCTTGGATGCTGGAGGAATAGGCGGAATTGCCTTAACCCTGTGAGGGTGTGTAGTCCCTCCAAGTTTCCTTGAAGGTGCTAAGCAGAGGTGCGATAGTGTGAGCCGATTCTCCCCCTACCTTCACTTTTGAGCTGGTACAGGGTGACCACCTTTACTTTTGGAATAAAAATCTTTTCACTGGACGATAAAGAAGGAAAATAAACAAAACAAACGCAAAAAAGATTATTGAAAGCATATATTTATGTATACGGCGGCATATATATTCAAAACAAACGTGCTCAGTAAATGGTGTATTTGGAAGTAAAATTTAGCGGGACTGTACGGATTTTATTGAGTAAATTTTGTCATAACATACTGCGAAGGAAATAGGTCGATCTAGGCAGTAACGGCCGAGAACCAGAATTTGAATATTTATAGTGAAAAATCATGCGAAATTTCCACTGCTATAAATCTGTTGCTTGAAGATGTTAGCAGTTGAGACTTCATAGGTTTTAAAGAGTAAATGGTGCTCTTTTAGATAGTGAAAAAATCGAGTGGATTTAAGGGATAGTCGTTGAAAACCAGAATTCTAAAAATTCACGTTGCGTGTTTGACAGTTGACAGTTAAACTTATATAAATTTTGAATTTGAAGGTGTGTGATGTTGCGACTTCATAGGTTTTATAGAGTAAGGTTTGCCTTATCAGGATATATCTTAGCCGTGCCGATTCACTGAAACAGTGCCAAAATCCAGAGTCTTGAAAAAGTAGGTAAAAAAGCGCTTTTTGAATTTCAACAGCTCATAACTTCTTCAGACCTGGATGAATCATGTTGCGACTTCATAGGCTAGATTCTGCTCATCAAGAGCTTTCAGATGGTATATAATATGTGAGGGTTTAGAGCCTCCTACGAATTATGCCGTGGGGGGAGCCTTTTCATACCAAAGTCTCCCCCCTCCAATACATTAAAGGCAGTGTCTCACCAAAATTTAGTTGCCGAAATTTTTGCATTTTGCAAGCCTATCGGACCCTCTCTAGCACTGTATGGGCTTAAAATCGCACGAAGTTCCCAAAAACCCCGTTTTCTGGAGGCCCCGCGGAGGCAACGTGGACGAGTTGTACCTTCCAACTTCAGCCTCAGCCACAGTGGCAGCAACAGAGGGGAGGTGGATGCCAAGTGGAGGGACATGTTCAAACGCCTAAGGGGGGAGACCGAAGGAGTCGTCCGCGCGTACCAACTGCCTCTCCGCGTACCACTTTGAGCAAATTTTTCTCAGCGTAGAGGGGGTCAAATTGAGTGGGACTTGTTGTAATGGCCTATCTAGAGGTCCCTATAATAGAATATGTATAGATCCCCGCGACCTCAACTTTGGTTAGACACCGCCTTTAAAGTGGGCTAGGGGGAGACTTTGGTATGAAAAGGCTCCCCGCACGGCATAATTCGTAGGAGGCTCTAAACCCTCACATATTATATACCATCTGAAAGCTCTTGATGAGCAGAATCTAGCCTATGAAGTCCCAACATGATTCATGCAGTTCTGAAGAAGTTATGAGCAGTAGAATTTCAAAAAGCGCGTTTTTACCTGCTTTTTCAAGATACTGGATCTCGGCATTATTTCAGTGAATCGGCACGACTAAGATATATTCGGATAAGGCAAACCTTACCCTACAACACTTATGAAGTCGCAACACCACACACTTTTACGTTCAAGATTTATATGAGTTTAATTGCCAACTGTTATTAAACACGCTAAAATGGCGCAATCTTTAGAAATCTGGTTTTCAACGACTATCTCTCAAATCCCTCTCAAATCCACTCCATTCTTTCACTATCTAAAAACGCACCATTTACTCTTTAAAACCTATGAAGTCGCAACTGCTGACATCTTCAAACAGATTTATAGCAGTGGAAATTTCGCATGATTTTTCACTATTTAAATATTCAAAGTTCTAGTTCTCAGCTGTTACTGCCTAGATCGAGCTATTTCCTTCGCAGTATGT